AAAGGTGTGGAGGCTCTCAAACATCAGCACCCCCAACTGCGTCACTGATCTATGCTCTTGTGACACCTCCACACTCCCCTCTACCACTCACCAGCCCCTGCACTCCACACCACACTCGAGCTGTTACAAAATACCGTTACCGGAAGTGCAGTTTTAAAACACACACTGTGAAGTGACATGTTTTTCTGCTTGGGTCTCAGTCAGAAAACTATCGTAAAGAAGAGCAAACCAACCTTGAATGAGCAGTAAGTAGATATTCCTTTCTAAAAAATCCGCCACCGTGACAGTTTAAGGAAGTGCCAAGGATGCCGCATTCAGGGAAGCAATTTAAAGAATGGCGGAAACAATAGAGGGCGCTAAAGTGCCAAAGAAAAAAGGGCCTCGTGGGAAAGGAGGCAGAGAAAAGGCTTTTATACTATACTGAAATCCAAATGAAACAAATAAACCATTATACATTTAACGAAATGTATCATTAATTATCTTGGATTAAGTATCATTTATTATCTTAAGTGGAAGATAATTGATGGGTGGATTTTATTTAAATACATATTTTATTATTTCACATTTAGTTTATTATTTTCATTGTTCTTGTGCTGCAGTGCATCATAAATTAATTTTGTTTGCCAAACTCACCCATCAAAGTCGGAAAAGGCATAAAAAAATATAAAATTATTTTGAAAGGGGATAAACACTGAACTGATTTGGAAAAAAGTGTTAAACAACTGTACATCATTATTTCAAATTAAATATTACAGATGAATCAACTGCTTGGTTCATACTGAGCTGTCTTAAAAACATTATACAAGTAACTCCCACTGCTACCTGAAGAAAAAACACACAGCTCAGATGTTTCTTTCTTCTTCTTTTTTTAAACTCCAGACTTCCAAAACTTGTAGCAGACATCTGGTGTTTTGAATACAGTTGAATAAATATTAAGAAACAAACAATTGAATAATTTCTGGAGCAGGCTTGACATCACTCGTCAGGATATCCATGACCAGCATGAACAACATGCTGGTCCAGATGGTTCTGCTCCCAGTGAAAATGCTCTCACTTTCCTCCCTATGTATTACATTTTTTTTATGTTAGTTTTAATTGAAAACAAGCTGTTCTCAACAAAAAGTATGACCTGTCCACATCAGGAAATAAAGATGTGCAAATGATTCACTTCAATATATACTGAGAGCATTCCTATAAGGTTCACTAAAACTCTGAAATTAAACAATAATCTCAGCTTAACTGATTTGCTTGGGAACAAATACAAAACTAAAATAAACCAAACATGACCTGTTAGATATCACCTATCACCTGTGTTTAACCTTCACTGAGAGGCGAGGGTCAGGAAGGGGTACCATGGGCTCCGATCACCCGGTCAGCTGACAGAGGGTGAGGGAAGCTGTCTGTTATGCTAACAGGACCTGACAGCTATGAAAAAATGTAATTATTTTTGCAAACAGGCTCTCAATAAACCAGCCAGATATTCATTTTCATTCAGATTATGCCATTACATTTTTACCTTAGAAAAACAACTAAAAAATGCATTTGGTGACAGAGAAAAATCATGTTCCAAAACTTTACTTGTAGAGGAAACAGCTGATGTGATTTTATTCCAAATGCATTCTGGGAAACCTGCCAACCCCATGTCCACTGGATCAATCCATTATCCAAAATCAGTCTGCCAGAGTAACCAGATAACTGTTGACAAGCTGCAATGATTGTTTATTTTATTTCATGGGGTGCACTGAAGCACAAGAACCAGGAAATAATAAATTAAATAGTGAAATAAATAGTTTTGTATAAAGACTTATACGTTTTAAGTTTTTAAAACAATATTTTGAGGCAATTATTTAATTATATAATTATATATTTTCATTTTAATTAATCAAAAACACATTTACATAATTAATTGATTTATTTATACATTTATATATAATTAATGATTAATTGCCAATTTTAATTATTTAAAACATGTCAGATTAATTATTTACTGACATTTTTATATTATTTTGTTTTAGCATTCTTAAGACTCAGTTCTAGAAAACTGAGTGAAAGTTTAAAAAGTTTTATGAATGATAGTCAGTCAGTGGAGGTTTAGGTCAACTCAAATGCAATGAGCCGAAGGTACTCTTTCCATCTCTGTCCATATAAAACATGAATAATATTTTCAGGTTCATTTTAAAACATAACACATATTTCTGTGGGGCATAATGTGCTGAGAGGAAGAAACTTTGATCATTCATAAATGAAATACATTTGCAACCCACCAGGTAAAGTATTTTTTTTATGGTGCTGGTGTTATAGTCTGTATACAATTCATGTTTTCTGCTTCAGTATCTGTTACAACAACTGTTGTACTCCTGTATTTGGATTTCAGGAAACATGCATGCATGGATCATCTCTTCAAGTAAGACTTTTCTTAGGCAGCGTTCACTATTGTAAACCGCAGCCAATCAAATTGCAGGACATTGCCTCCTTGTGTGGGAAGAGGGAAGGGTGGATAAAAATGCTTTGCAGTCCTAGACATCTAGTCACCCTACAGCAATGAACAGCATATTGTTTAAAACCTGATTCATCTGAGCCCAATCTTGCATTCATAAAATAAAATATACATGGAAAATCAAAACAGATCTTATATATTAAACAATTTTTACATTTAAAACCAGGCAGGGAAAGGAACTTATATTAAAAGAATGCCGGATTTTTATGCCTTCCTTTTTAAAAAATTTTTTTTATTGCAAATATATTACTTTGAATAAAAAAACTGGGTTCATTCAAAGTGCAGAAGAGGTGGGGGGCCTCCAATCTGGCCCACTAGATGCTTTGGAATATATGAAGGACATAGATTTTGAACTGTTAAGTGTATTTTCACAGGTTTTATAGCTTTTCCTATGAATGTAGACCTCCCCCATTACCACTGTCCTTCATATTACACCACAGTAATTAAGTAATAGATAAACAGCTAAATCATTTTAAATGACATTTTTTTCCACTATTGACTAAAGAAATGTGTTTTTTACACCGGGTCAATGGTAAAAATGAATGAATTAATAAAACATTTCTGTGAATTAATGATTTCTTTTTTTTTTTTTAATTACAGGAGTGTCGGGGCAATGAGCTATGTCACACATTTATTCATTCATTCTGGCAAATTTATTTCATTTACTACCGCAACATGTAGAATATAGAAAAACTGAGGGATGCTGTTGAAATTGCACTATTTTTTCTTGTATTAATTTGTATATATATTGAATGTGTATATATTGAATATGTATTCAAACATCTTTACACTGACAGAAAGGGAAGTTTCACTGGTTTGGCATCTTTTATCTAAATAAACACCAAATATATGCTCTGTGCTTTTGAACTTATTCTTACTGACACAGCATTATTTTAGGAATTCTATACTGCATAACATACAATGTATTTTTTTAAAATGCTTTTCTTATTTGCTTTAATATATTGAAAATACACTTTACATGCAACTTTAACTGAAATTTTCACCAGTCGCTGCCTGGTTTTTCCATTTCAAAGCTCTTTGTCTGGAGCTGCACTGGATCCCAGTAAACAAATAAAAATGATTACTGTGGCTTTATGAGCGCAGCAGACACATCTCATAAAAATTAAGCTGAAGATGTCTCGGAGGAGAGGGAGGGATGGATGGAGGGAGATGATGTTTCCTCAGACAGGCTCTCTAAAAGACGTGTTTTCCTCATTGTGTCTCACTCCTCCGACTGCAGAGTCACCAGCGAGTACTTGCTGAGATGAACTGGGGCAAATAACTCAGCCCCGGAATAAATAAAGTGCAATCCATCTTTCCTTAAAAGACACTTGACATTCAGTCTAACAGCAAAACAGCCCCCAACTCAGCCCGGGCGAGCTGGAAGAATCTAATAAACTTTGTGCTTTGGCAGAATGAAGGGAATTGGTAACTGATGGAGCAATAGGAAATAATTTGTCTTTAAAAATATGTCTCGCCGTGTCTTGGCTTGTCTTTGTCTCCTTTTTTCTCTCAGCTCAAGAGAGTCCATTCTGGTGATATGAAACAAAATTATGGGGGGGAAAGCTCAGGTACAGTGGATGATATCAAAAAACTAATAAAGGGAGCCAGTAGAGGGAGGCAGGATGATATTAGAAGAAGTATTAGGAATGATATCTGATATTTCATGACAAATACAAACTGCTTAATTAATTTTCTGCTGTTTCACACCTTTTAGCTTGTGTGTTTATGGTGAAATGTGATTTTTAATACAGATTTGCTGATGTAGAAATGTTTAATCTGGTTGATTGGAGGGACTGTGATGAATGAGGTCCAGACATTTGTTCTATTCGTTACCTATTGGATCACCTCATCCTCATACTCATCGCCTTTCTTCTTAACCTAGCTTCAGCAGCTCTTTCTCATATCTTCATGGTTTGGCTCCTCAGCTTTATCCCTCTGTATGTGGTACAGCTTTGCATATCAAAATCAGTACCAGTATACTTCTTCTCCAGTCCTCAGGCATTCTCTCACTTTCCAAGACTGTGTTAAACAATCTGGTCTAAAAGTCCACTGTCCACCTCCTACACGTCTCCATACCTCCACAGGTATGCCACCAGGACCAACTGCTTTTCCAGTCTTTGAACTTTTCATAGCTGCCCTCAGCTCCTCCTTATAACCCCCTGAGCTGTTTGATTCACCATTGTTCCTCCATCCATCCCCTTCTCTTTCTCATTTTCTTCAGAGAGCATAACATAGAGCAATTATATTATTGTTGATAATAATAATAATAATAATAATAAGTAGTAGTATTGCAGAGCAATGTAACTGATGGGCCTAATTTAAATGTGCTAGCTGTGGACACACTTTTCCAGCTAATTAAATACTAAAAAAATAACAACAAATTATTATTATTCCTCGGCATTATAGCTGTAGTAGGTTATTTGATTGTTCACAATTGTAACGATTGCGCAGGCTCGGAATCTGCGCTGGCGCTGATTTGTTGATGACGGAAGATGACGAAAGCACGTCCGCAGCCTAGCAGCAGAAAAGACGGCGTAAACAAAGCAGACCGCTAGGAATCGGCTAACGCTAAGTAGCGAATATTTCAGTAGTAAAATACTCAGTATTTATGCGCTTGGTTACAAACGACCACATTTTATTGGCGAGTAGGGCTCAGATGTAAGTGGTAAACGACTCACGTATTTGCTTACACTACAAACTAAACGATACTACAAATACCGTTATTGCTAACTACATTAGCTTTAGCTAGCCTCGTTTAACGGGATGTTCAGCTTCTGGAAAATAATGTTTTCCAGGCTAATATTTATTGAAAACACATGGTAACGACTAAATTATTCACCGACGTAAGTTGGGTGAGGCATTTAAAAGCTGCTAAACGTTTACACTTTGATGGGTTAGTTCGCCATGTAGCTAGTTTAGGTTAAGAGTCGATGAGCTGGCTGAACAGGGCTGGATAGTGGAGTGTCGCTGCCCACCTGGACCACCACTCAGTCATTCGGACCCGGACTGCGATGTTTAGCCTGATGGCGAATTGTTGCAACTGGCTAAAACGCTGGCAGGAGCCTGCAAGGTAAGTTAGGTCGCGATATGATGCCCCAAAATCAGTGCTCCACACTCCGAAATCACGCACAGCTTCAACCTGTTGAGGTGCTTCGAAAAGTGGAGCTGCTTGTTTGTATACATTCAGTTCATTTTTCAGTGAAGCAGTAAAGGAGATACTATCACCGACACATCACACCCCATAAACCTTTTAATAAAGCCGAGACAGTTCTGTATTTGCAGTTTTGTTAGTTTATGACATAATCCATTAAAGTTAGCTTCAAAAAAAAAATCCCCTTAAGCTTTTTATTTCTTGCAGCAGAAATGGCCTTTTTTTTTTAAAGGCCATTAGATCTTTTATCTTGTGATACTGAAGATGCAGTTTTTCTTCTAATAAATAAGTAACATAAAACAACTTTTAAAGTTAAAATAAACCAAAGAATTTATACAGTGTGGATTTCAGCCTTTGTTTTATAGTGTTATAGCATTTCTACCTAAGTTTAACATATTTATTTTTTCTATCAACGTGTTATCAGAAGATCACACCACATCATTTATTTTATTACCATGTCACATTTTTGTTTTATTATTGTTTTTTAAGTAGTTCCTCATATTTAACCTCCTAAGACCCGAACTCTCATGGCATGCATTTAGAAATTTTCTTTGATATTTGGGCTGATTGGGACCTGATGAATTTAAAAACAAAGAATTAGCAGATTTTTTTTAATTTTTTTTTAACCTAATTTTTGTTTCTGAGAAAAATGAGATCCACATTTGAGGACATTCGTTTTAAACTTTGATAGAACAGTGGCAGTATAACGTCCTCGTCTATTGATATCAGGCCCTTGTAGAGAAAAATTAAGTATTTTGGTCTAGACAACCCAAAATGTGATGTCCACATATGTGTACGCCAGGTCCTAGGAGGTTAAAGTAATGTGTGCTTTTTTTAATTGTGTTTTGTGTTTATACATGCGTGGGCACACAAAATATGTGTGTGTATGTATGTATGTATGTATGTATGTATGTAGAATAGAATAATCCTTTAATTGTCCCACAAGGGGAAATTTGGTTGTAACAGCAGCCAAAAAGACACATATACAAACAAACAGTACACAGGACATGGAACAGAAACATACACAATTTTTTACATATTTACATCAAGGACAGTGGTTACTATATACAGAGAGTACTGTACAGTTATTAAATTAAATAAAAATAACTACAGATAAGAAGCAAAGCAGGTTGTAGTGCGAATCGTGTGTGTGTGTGTGTATATATATATTTATTTATTTATTTATTAGGGGTGCAACGATACTCGATATTGAACCGTTCGATACAGTGCTTTCGGTTCGGTACGCATATGTATCGAACAATACAAAATTTTTAATTTATTTTATCAACTTTTCTTCTGACGATGCTGTCTGTGTTGAGAGCCTAGGCTGCACTGTCGAGCGCAGATCCACTGAGTGCAGCGCAAGCTAGCAAGACAGAAGCTAAGCTCGTTGCAACATGGCAAATTGAACCTCCCCCACCCTCATTCGGATCTGGCCTTTGGAACTATTTTGGTTTTCATGTGAAGTATGACCCTGAAGGTAAGCGCGTCATGGACTAAAGTAAAACAGTATGTCGGATGTGCCACGCAATGCTCAATTACATTGGTGGGAACTAGTGTGTTAGCGCAGTTTGCTCGTTAACGTGTTGGCCGTCCAGCCCCACGCACTGGGTGATCCGCGGTAGCTCGTTAACAGAGATTTGCAGTGTTGTGGCGTTAACGTCATTTCAGATTAACGCTGACAGCACTAGTGGGAACAAAATGATCCCTTTGTTGTTTCAGCAACATTAGATTTAAAAACTGTATGTTTGAGTTAAAATATATATTTATAATTTTAATAAATGACAAATTAAAAAAGCATGAAAATTTTTTTTGTATTGAAAAAATAT